GAGCCATCTCTCTAGCCCCCAGAAAGTTCTTAGAAAACAAAATTATTTAGAAATGAACATATTTTTTAGCTTTATAAATGTATTTCCCTCAGCCCCGAATATGACAAGGAATCAAAATGAGGAGTCACAGAGGTGGGATTCTGACATCATCTACAACACTGGTTACTGACTTGACAACCAAACAACCAACGGTGGAGTCTCTAAACTGAAATACAGATATCAGAACACTGTGCACTGAGATAACGATTCTATGGGTCCTGACTAGAGCTTGTCTTTCCTTTTTTGAAATAAAAAGCCTCCTCCAATCAGTCACTTCCTCTTAACTGACAATATTAGTAAAACTCCACTCATTGATCATTTAATGGCTACTTCTGGAACTGGCACAACCACTTTATATTACCTACATCACACAAACAAAGCAAGAATCAATCACAGTTTTTCTTTTTTCTGTCTTTTTGAGACAGGTCTCCCTGTAGCCCAAGCTGGCCTGGAACTCACTATGGAGCCCAGACTGGCCTGGAACTCACAGAGATTCACCCTGCCTCTGCCTCCTGAGTGTACCACCACCACTGGCTCAATCACAGTTTTTCCATACGTTAAACTAAGCTAAGAGAAGGTAAGTGACTTGCCTAAAGGTACACAAGCCAGTAAAGGTGGAAGCCAGGATTCAAACACTATGTCTTCTGGCTCCCAAACTGTGGAATCCTTCTTCTACAAAAACATTAAAGTCATTCTTCTCATAACATTGGAGCCAGAGGGGGCTGCTCAAAAGACCTCTAGTTCAAAATGTTCTTAAGGACAGAGCTTAACCCAGGGGCTTGTTTACTCCTGCCCCTCCCTCATTCTCTTTACCATAAATGCTTTTTCTCAAAAATACAGCATACATTCTCCACTTTTACAAAACACTGCTGAATTTCTTGAAATGGAGTGTTCTGTCTCAACACACAATTACTTCTTAAAGACAGGCATACCTCCTGGGAGGTGTGAATTAGCTGAGTAAGCAAGACATTGTACACTGAGGGGCACAGGTGCTGTGCCGCCTACATGTAATATACTCCCCGTGAAGACAGAAAAACCTGTACAGGGCAAGTTCTTTTGTACATTAGAAAAAAACAACTATATATTAAATAATTACCATCTAGCATGATTTTCCAAATAGCTCAAGAAAGCCTACAGATCACACTGGTGTTGGGTGGCAGATTTCTGAAGGCAAATGCTATGTTAAGATCCCAAAGTATAAAAGCAAGCAAGCAGTCTCCTGGCTGGACAGCAGAGGGGGGGAGAGGGGGGAGGAGGAGGAGGAGGAGGAGGAGGAGGAGGAGGAGGAGGAGGAGGAGGAGGAGGAGGAGGAGGAGGAGGAGGAGGAGGAGGAGGAAAGGACTCACTTGGGAAGATGGAAGCAAGCACAAAGAGATGTGCTAGAGCAACAGCAGGGAAGTGCTCATAGAAGGACCTGGGACAGACCTGTGACAGTCTCAGCTACCTAGCCTGCAGTTCAACAACCCTGGCAAATCCAAGGCTGACCCTGGGAACTGACTCCTGAAATGAACAAAAGTTAGTTCAAGCTCTGCTTGGTTTCTCTATTGAAGGAAAGGAGGGAATGGTCAGAAAAGTACTAAAAAGTAAAATGAACCAGATCTTGACAAGGACAAATGTCAAAACTGAACACAGGATTCAGGAATGAAAGCAGATGACATAACCATTAAATTCTGCCACAAAGTAAAAAGGGCCATTTTATAAAGTGCAGAAAACCTCATCATAACACGAACACCAGAGGATCACGAAAGGGGTGGATTTAATGAGTTAATCAATCTGCTTACCAGGAACTATGACAGAAATGAGATTCACAAGCAGCCAGTGAAGTGGCCGCTCACTTCCTCATCTGACTGAGCTTCTGTCCCGTTCCTTCGTCAAACTGTCTGGTCACAGCCCCCACCACACGGAGGGATGATTAAATGTCAGCCCTGATTCAAACAACTAATGCGTGGCACAAACAAATATATTTTTATGTTTTTGAGAAAGATTAATAGTAGCTAGGGATGGTCTGCCAACTGCAGATGTACAAACTTCCCCTCCTACACATAAATCAAACACAAGGCATATGGCGTATTTTAAAGACTGTTGATGTTACAGTGATTTTAAATTACTCAGGTTGTGAAGTAAACCATGTAGATGTTGACTAATGAGGCAATATATTCTGGATATTTCCACATGAAAGCTATAAAATGTAATAGCATCAAGAAAGAAGGTCTCAGGAATTAAGAAAAGATACACTGAGATGTGTTTCTATAATCAGTTCATTGATATTTTAGGTAAATTCATTGTCATAAATGTTGTGTTAGTAGACAGACTATTGTAAGATCCTACCTTTTGGTTCCCTTGAAAGTAAACCTAGAGCTGGAGGGATGTCTCAGGAGATAATATTCACTATTCTTACACAGGACCTGTGTTTGGTTCTCAGCACCCCATCAGGTGGCTCACAACTGCCTGTAACTCCAGCTCCAGGGGATCTGATGCTCTCTGGCCTCCATGAGCACCTACACGCATATGGTGCACATAAACTCATGTAGGTACACATACACACATAAATAAAAATAAATCTTTTAAAAATGAACCTAATAGAAAAACAGCACATAATACTCAAAATAGAAACGAAAAATCAAATAGATTATAGGGCAGGTTGGCTGTAAAATGCTTGTAGCTGGATCAGAGGTGTCTGGTAGATCAGCCCAATGTATTAACGAGAATGCAAAGTCAATGTTATTCAGGGTTAAGTTAGCAGAACTCTGGATAGGGGACCACGGAACCAGAACTAGGGTGGATAGCTCAGTCCCTCCTGTGAGCTGGCACCTTCAAAGATCCCAGGGAAGTGATGAAGATCAGATGATAAATGCACGCAGGTGTGAGAGCACACTACAAACCACAGTTTATCTTTAAGAGCCAAGTATCACCATCATCCTCACCATACCTCATATCGCCATCATTTTTTATATTCAGGTTATTTCCACCTACATACAAATTGCTATTAAGGATCCATGATCTGTTATCAAGTGATCTAGGTACAAGAAGAGACTTAAAAATGTACTGGAATGTTTTGTCAAAACAAATCGGCACACAATGGTTTTGATAACTGTTCAAGAAGGCTGACTGGACATTTAAATTAACTCAACAGCTGAGTTTTGTTTTTGATTTCCTCCTGTGCTGGATAGCTTTAGGGTCAACTTGACATACCTGGGTTGAAGGAGCCTCAGTTGGGGAATTTCCTTCATTACCCTGGCCTGTGGCCATGCCCATGGGGCATCTTTTTGATTGCTGAGTTATGTGGGAGGGCCCAGCCCATGGTGGGTGGTGCCACCCCTGCGAAGGTGGGCCTGTGTTGCATAAGAAAGCAGGTTGAGTAGGGGCCAGGGGTGCGGGCCAGTGGGCGGTGTTCCTCCATGGCCTGTGCTCCAGCTCTTGCCTCCAGGTTCCTGCCCTGAGTTCCTTCCTTGGGCTCCTTGATGAACTGTGACTCAGGAGATGTAGGATAAAATGGACCCTTTCCTCCATTGGTAGTGGTCAGAGTGTTTTGTCACAGCAATTAAGAAACAAACTAGGACACCTCCCAATGGCCCCAATTACTTTGATCACCAATATGCAACTTCGTGACAGCACTAGAGTGTGGTTGCTATGACATCAGACAGTTTTGTTGCAAGGAAACTGAGGCCCATCATCAATCTCTTTTCCAAAGACTCAAATATGTTGTGCATGAAATAGTATTTACTATTTCATGGTAAGGAAACAAGCAAGTTCAGCCTCTTGTGAGCAGCAACTAGCCACAGCTAGTTACAAGTACTATCCCAGAAGGGAGTCATTTTATTATTGAGTACTTCTCAGTGTGAAGTCCTGTGAATGCCAGTGAGGCAGAAGGTGGTGGTAAAGGAGAAGGAGGCAAGTTTAGTGTCAAGCCTTAGATTACCCCAATTTTTTTTTTTTTTTTTTTTTTTTTTTTTTTTTTTGACAGGGTCTCCCTGTAGTCCCAGCTGGCCTGGAACTCACTATGTAGATCAGGAGGCTGGCCTTGAACTCACAGAGATCTCCCTGCCTCTGCCTCCCGAGTGCTGAGATTAAGGTGTGCACCACCACGCCTGGCAGATTACCCCAATTTTTAAAGATTATTCATGAATCCCTAAAAAGAGTCAGTTGCTAAATTCTGGGGTTAACAGGTTCCAATGTGTAGGTATGGGTGCTGACTTATGGAACCTACGTTCTAGGGAAACAGAAAGACAAATACAAATCAAAATACAAAATAATGCCCTGTGATAATAATAGTGAATTGATTGTTATAAAGGCTATCACAATAAAGATGTTCACAGGAGATTCATGGAAGTGTCAGGGATTAATTTAAACTAATTAGGTAAGTCCTTTCTCAGGAAGAGAGCTGTATGAAACTGGGCCGATGAAGTGGGCACTGGGAAGTGGGCATTCCAGAGGGAAGAGGAGGTGGAAAGGCCCTGAGACAGGAAAGGACTGAGGCATTAAGGCAACTACAGAAAAGAAGCCAATGTAATAAATTACAGTGAGAGGCAGCAGAGGAGTGTGAACTGAGGTTGGAGGAGCGGACACAGAGCACGTTTTGTAGTCTTGTGCGGGTGAAGGTCAGGAGACTTAAAGGAGAAATCTTACTGCTTTTAAAAGATGCAGCGATTTGTTTTAAGGAATCACTCTCTAACTACATGTATGTAATATAATGTATGAACTCATAAACTTTATTCTGAAAAGGCTACTATTGGAAGCAACCAAAGGGCATTTTGAAAAAATTTTCAAATATATAAACAAAAATGTTCTAGTGCTGGGGATATAGCTTGCTGGTGGAATGCTTGCCTAGCATGCCAAAGGGCTTGGGTTCAATTTCTCAAAAAGACACAATCTGTTTCAAAGCTCAAACAGTTGCCTAAAGGCTAGTAAGCTAACCAATGCACTCCAGATTTCAAAAGCAAAGACTAAACCAACTTACGTACCTCCTCGCTGCACCAACAGTGTGACCTCACTTCCTTTTGGACACTCAATTAGCATATCCACGACTTGATTGTGTGTAAGAGCTTGCACGTTCTTCTTATTCACTTCCACAATGAGATCCCCTTCTTTGAGGCCTCGGCAGCGGGGACTGTCAACAATCTGTTTCACTCTCTGGCCACCTCCACCAGGACTATCTGCGATTGTAAAACCAAATCCCATCGGCCCTTTGACTATGTGAACAGTTATGAGCTCTGGCTGAGTGGCTATGGAGGAAGCCAAGGAGACCGTGTCATTGGGATACCCATGGGAGCTGTTGGAAGCCACGTCTGCAGGGCTGCTTGGCCTGGCGTCCTTCATGCTGCTAACTTTGCCTGTTTTACTACTGTGACTCGCTGGTGAATCGTAGGTCTCTTGTCCATTCACAATAATTGGTTCTTTGTCCAAAATGGCCACTGAGGTCACTAAACTTGTATTGGGGTCGTCTGGGTCAAAAGGCAATGGATAACCTCTGCAGAGTTCAAGGTCCACGCTGGCACCAATGGGAATGGACTGGAAGATTTTTACAACTTGAGCATGTGTATGTCCCAAAACACAAGTGTCATTCACGCTGACAATTACATCCCCTGTAAAAGGCAATAGTTTGGGGGTCAAACAATGCAGAACTTCAAAAATGGAATGTCATTTTACTAATATTCAGAACATACTACCCCAAGATGTGCTACTTTAGTATAGGCTTATTTGGTGCTAAAGATGCTTGAAAGAAAAAATTAGCAAGTGTGGAAAAGCACTCTGATCCTCTTGTTTCCTTCCTGAAAGAAGGGTTTACATGGAAGCTGTTCCTCCCACACCAAGAAGCATCATTCTTACAGTACATTCTTCTCAGTATGGATTTAAAAAAAAAAAAAATCACTGTACAGTGACTTGTTAAGCCAACACATGACTTCCTAGTCAGTCCTCTGCTCAAGTCACTGCTCTGGCCCAAGCCCATGTCTTGTTCCATTTTCATAACCTATTCTGTGTTCACTGTGGTGAGTATTGAACAGAATCTTTGGGTTGCTATTTCCTTTAAGGACCCGTATCATATCCACCTCATTCTTCAGGTGCTTTTTTGGGGGGGTGGAGTGGCTGAGAGTCAAGCTCTCACTATGTAGCCCAGGCTGGCCACCAACTCCTGATCCTCCTGCTTTAGTCATCTGAGGGCTAGTGTTACAGATGAGTGCCACCACATCTGGCTTTAAACTTATATTAAGTGAACTTTCATGTTTTTCTTTTATTAACTTGTCTTTTGTCATTCTCAGAGTCAGACAAAAACCTTAAGAGGGTAGAGGTAAAATTTTACCTCTTCTGCACTTTCAATATGAAATTGAACTGAAACTGGGGTAGGGGGGGTGGGAAGCACCATCAGGCAAAACCAGACTACTTCTATTGTTTAGTTTAACTAGTAATAAAGCTTTCCTTTAGCATCTAGTGTCTTCTTTGTTAATGACAATATAATAATCATTGAAAGAACGCTAGAACTCTAAGTTTAGAATTCATTTATTCAAAAGACTCTACATTAGTAAATTACTGCTTTACTATATGCAAAAGCACCCTTACAAAAATTCCAAAGTCAAAGGAATTGCAAAGGTTTTCATCTGGACTGCAGGAGGGTTTTTTGTAAGGGAGGGATCTGGCCTACTGCAAGATGTATAAAGGACCCTTACAAAGTCATGACAGAGGCCTCATCGCATGGAACATACTATGGCCTTGTGGACTCACCTGTCTCCATCTTGCCATCCAGTGCGGCAGGACCATCTAGAACGAGGCTCTTGATCTGCAGAAACTCATCAGGTTCATCCCCTCCAACCACCGTGAAGCCAAAGCCACGGCTGCTTTTCCTTAGCTTCGTGTGGATGAACTTGCCTTTCAACTCAGAAGGGTTTCTTGTAAAAAAGGGTTTGCCTGAAATAGAGTGAGAAAGCACAAGGAATGTTGTCACGAGTGAACCTGTGAATGAACAAAGATGCTATGATCAATAAAGAGCGCAGTCCAAGCTCATGGACTGAGGCCTTCAGACACAGATGGGTCTTAATGTAAAAAGATGATTCAATGATAAAGAGTGCTCGCTGCTCTCCAGAGGACTTAAGTTTGGTTCCCAGTACCTAAATCAGATGGCTCACAACTACAGGTGATCTGACACATTCTTTTGTTCATGGCGCGCGCATGCGCGCGCACACACACACAGCATATATACATGAAAATTTAAAAAAAAAAAAGAAAATCCTCTCTTGATTTCAGGACTGGGGGCACTGTTCTCCCTCTGTGTTTAGGAGGTGAGTATCATACACTAAGCATGTCCTCCTTTTTTTGACTCATGGTTTCATGTAGCCCAGGCTGGCCTCCAACTTACTATGGAACCAAGGATGACTTTGAATGTCTGATACTCCTCTTTCCACTTCTGAGTGTTGGGATTATAGGCGTGAAGTGTTGGGAAGCAATGAACCTAGTGCTTTGTGCACACTGGGCAAGCACTCTACAATTAAACTACAGCCCCAACCCACATATGGTATCTTTAATGTCCAAAAGAAGATAGAAGAAGACAAACTTGGTCTCAGTCATGTGACCTGCTTCCTTGATTTTAGTTCATGAAGTTGATGGTAGCTGAGCCCCCACAGCCTCCTTAGAGAAAGCAGGTGGGCCTCACCGTGTGTCATGCTTTTCTTTTGTGTTTTGCAGTCTTGACTACACTGTCCTGCTATAGATAAGTCATCTACATATAGGTCCAACTGAGCAGAAACATTGGTTTTTAACCAAATGGAAGGCTTGGGCTGAAAGGCAGGGATAATACCAGGACCTGTATCATGATCAGAGTAATTTGACGAAAGTGTACAATCACAACGATTTTTGAAAATTAAAGGTCATTACATTGAATAGAATTCCAAAGTCATTGGACTTTCCTTATTTATCTGTAGGTTTTAACAATTTGTGAAATAACCAACATGTTTCCATTGCTAACGTTTATTGCATTAGAAAAAAAAAGAAAAAACAAAAACCTGAGGTCATTTGGCTTGGTGCATTAAAAAACAAAAAACAAAAGAATAAGCCAAAAGAAAATTCCCAAACTAAGTTAGCTATGTAACTGTCAATGGTACTAAGGTCTTACTCTTTTCTTCAAGTGTGTGTGTGTGTTGTGTGTGTGTGTGTGTGTCCGACATGTGCACATAGGCCAGAGGACAACCTCAGGAATCATCCTCAGGGATGCCATCCACCTCCTTTGAGTCAAGGTCTCTCACTGGCTTGGAGCTTAACAATTAGGTGAGGGTAGCTGGCCAGTGAGCTCCAGAGCTGGATTACAAGTGCGTATCACTACACCTAGCATTTTAACTCGGGCTCTAAAGATAAACTCAGCTCCTTATGCTTGTGGGGCAAGCACTTAACTGGTGGAGCTAGTGTCTCAAACCTAGGTTTTTTTTTGATAAATTCAAAAGTAGCATTTCAAATCTAAATTAAAAATTGTCATTGGGGCTTTACTGTATTTCCCTATAACTGAGACATCACTGGAATTTCTTGGGATATTCCAAACAGTGGCCACTTGCATCTTTCCCAACTCCATTTCCTATGTCTTGCCCTTGTTAGAACCACCTCATCTGCTCTCTTTCTTTTCTATTAAAAAAAAATTTTTTTTTTAAAGGAGAAAAGGAGTTACCATGTGTTAGGAGCCTGGCACTCAGTGCGGAAAGTTATTTTTGGTTAACTATAACTAAAAGGCCTTAAAAGGTCTCTGGGCATGCACACAATTTTTAATTGCATATTTTAAAAGTTTCTGGCTCTTTCAAAGAAGGCTCTTTTAAATTGGCTGTAGTCAGAGGTCTGCTCGTGAACCTCCTCTCCAGTGCAGTCCAAGGCTTACTGGAAGCTCCACAAATGGCAGCCCTGTCACTGTGGCTAAGGCTACTGCCAAGGTGTGGGGAGAAGGAGGCCACCTCTGTTGAAGGCTTCTGAAAGACAGCTCCCAAGACAATTGTCAAATAAAAGGTGAGGACAGGTAAGGTAACCCCTAAAGTTTACTTTGGGCTAGGCTGTTGCTGTAGTGCCTGCCAGCAATCCCGGGAGAGGAGAGATGAAACACATCTCAGTTATGAGGAGAAATCAACAGCCACCAACTTCTCAGTGACGTTTTCTGGTGCCACATTATTAAAATGTGCACTGCTTCCTCAACATTTCCGACTGTCCCACTTTTCTGCTTTGTTTTTTGTCCTTAGAATTTACTACTTCCCAACATAGTATACATTTCACTGACTGGCTTGGTTTCTTGTCTTAGTGTCTTCATGATGATACATAAGAAGCACTGCATGTGCACACACATAAAGTCACTAGAATGTAAGCTCCGAGGAGAATGTCATATGCATATGTATCCAGGGCTTAGAATACTGCCTGGCACTTTTTTATTTATTATTTTTATATGTATGAGCATATTGCCTTCATGTATGGAGGTGCACCTGTGTCGTGAAATGCCCACAGAGGTTGAAAGAGGGCACTGGATCCCCTGGAACTGAAATTATGGATGGTTGTTAGGTACTATGTGGGTGCTGATAACGGAACCTGGGTCCTAGCCCTCTTAATCGCCGAGCCATCTCTCCAGCCCCATCTAGTACATTTTAAGTGCTCTAAAAATTTCCACTGACTGACTGACTGAATAAAAGCACAGTGGACAGATATAATAGGTTGTTGAGAAGACCGAAAAGAAGTGACTAGATAGGTGTTAGAACATTTCATTTTTCTTACAAAGTTAGAAAACTGAAAATGCACCAGGCAGTTTACCTGAATTTTAACCAAGAGGGAACATCAGAGTATTTCATATTTATTATGTTTTAAGTATGGGTTGGTCACTACATTAATGTGGCTTTCGGGGAGAAAAGCAGTAGGATTTGTTGCTCTTGGCTGTAGCCCTGTGGTCCAGACCATTTTTCGAGACCCTAACTTCTAGGGCTAGCTAGCAGTTTTAAGACCTGACTGTATACCTGTAAACTCATCTGAGTGGCCTTTTAAACATGTACTCATTCTAGTTCTTTTTTGTTTTTATTTTATTTTATTTTATTTTTTGAGACAGGATCTATAGTTTAGGCTGACCTCAAACTTTTAAGGTAGCTGAGGATGACCTTGAACCGTGATCCTCCTGCCTCCACTTCTTCAGTGTGGGATTACAGATGTACACCACCATACTCAGTTTATGTGGTGGTAAGGACTGAACCCAAGGCCTTCGTGCATGCTAGCCAAGCACTCTGTTAAATGAGCTGTAACCAACTGAGCTGCACCACCAGCTCCAGTTTTAGTTCTTACCCTAAGCTCACTGAATCAGGATCTTCTAGGTTTGGGCTCAAAATTTTGTCTTTGAACTACCATTAGGAGTTCTCTGCCAGAGCAGAATTACTCTTGGTTCTGGTGTTTGACCAGCCACTGTCCAACACTACTTTCTGGAACACTGGAAATACTGTGTGTTTGCACTGTTCGGTATCACGGCTGCCACACCACACAGACATCACAGCCTTGAAATGTAGCCTTGTAATGGGTCAAATAACTCAAATTTTCATTTTCCAATTGCAGTTAATTTGACACTGTACTACTTTAGTGTTGCATGCTTAAAGGGAAATAGAGGTAGCACCAACTTCATATGATAGTTATGAAGAATGACTATGATGGATAAGATATGTAAAAGTCCTACAGAAGAGTTTGGTATTAAAAAGGGCTTTGTAAATCAATTATCATGTAGATGGGAGATGGAGAGAGCACGGTAGGTGGGGAAGCTACAAAAATCCTCTCCAAGCCTAAGCTTAAAGCTAGAGAGTCGTCTAAGGACACAGTTACAAAATGACCCATTGTTGGGAAATAAACTCAATCAGAGGAGAATTTGGTTGAACAGTGAGCTTGGCAAAATTAATATAAACTACCAAACCAAGGTGGCTTCTTCCTGCTAGCATTATCAATACTATGCAAAATAAGATGTGTAACCAACAGGCAGACCACCCGAAGTCTTAAGCAATGAGGCTAATGTTGAAATTAGTTTATTTCAATCCCCACTTGGGGTGACTGGGTCGGGGTGTTTATGGGTTTCTTTGGTATCACTTATATTCCAAAGATTATGATGTTTGACAGATGAGGCTCAAGATTGAGGCCACACTGGCTGTAGGAATATGTGAGCTGACTGCAGGGAGAGTTCAGGGGACCTGGACTTTCTCAGCCCACTCCCAGGTTAAACACGGCTATGGAAGACAAGAGAAAAGAGCCTAGGGGCTGGGAGTGTGGCTTGGGAGCAGAGCACTTGCCTGGTACTCCTGGGACTCTGTGTTCTAAACTAACACTATAAAATGAACACATTAGTTTAAAAAGCAGGAGAGGCCTAGAAAAAAGCAAAGTAGGAATCTGAGATGAAGCTCACCGATATATGCCATTCATATTCTTAGCGGGTGCTTTAAGTATATGGGATACCCAGGACCTGTACTTTCAGCTTTTAATGTATTTCATCTCTAAAACAATTCTTTTAAGAACACGGGCTGGCTATCATGTGTGTATGTAGATGTATGCATATAGACACACTATTTCACTCAATAACATAATTTCAGCAGAACATACATATGAAAGGATTATAACTGATTTGGGATTAACTGACAGTGAATCTTTAAAAAAAAGGAAATAAAACCAACAAAAAACAAAACTCATAGTTTTGTGCCTCTATGGGATTCCAAGCCTTTCAATGAAGCAATTACTGTTAAATAACAGAACATCAAAGAATACTAACTGCAACTGATAAATTCTATAAGTGACAAGCACAGGATGGCTAAGAGTAACTATGGCAGAGGACTCGACCAAAGACCTGGAGGGAACAGGAGTCAGCAAAGAATGGGAAGAAAAGAGAAAACCACAGGGGAAAACCTATGCAGCTCTCAGAACTGGTCCATACAGTGGATGGTTCGAGGAACTTAAAGGAGGCTGCTGCAGTTCTCTTACTAGGAGAGAGGTGAAGTAAAGCAGCATGAACCAAAGAAGGAATTTCAAACTCAGAAATGCTGAGGAGGCCATAATCATGCTGATAGTAACATGTTATCACAGCTGCGTGCTAGCCTTATGAAAGCCATTATCACAGTAAGTTTATTTGTGCCTGAAGAAATCACCTCACATCAATTGATACTAATAAAGCTCTAACGATGGTATCAACTAGCAGAGAAAACTTTTCTTCTGAAAATTACAATGGAGGAATTAAAATGAGAGAAATGTGTTATTCTACTTATCTTACTACATCTAACACAGTTGGATCTTGCTAAAAATGTTGACAGGAAGATAAATTTTACATTACTTGTAATGGTTCTGCACAACCAACATTCCATAACTCTATCCAACATGATGCTTATTTCTAATTTTCTTTTTTTTTTTTGGGGGGGGGGTCTTTTTGAGACAGGGTTTCCCTGTAGCCCCAGCTGGCACTGAACTCACTATGTAGAGCAGGCTGGCCTTGAACTCACAGAGAACCACCTGCCTCTGCCTCCAGAGTGCTAGGATTAAAGGTGTGCCCACCCCAGGCCTTAGTTTTCTTACTTTGAAAGAAAAAAATCTGAACACTCCTGTTCCTCGAAAAAACAATTTTGTGTCAATGAAGAATAGTGAGGTATAAAATTAGCGAGGTCTGAGACCTTTCAACATTCAAGAATGACCCTTTCTAGGGGGCTTTTGTCATGAATAAAGGTGAGACCTATTCAACTGCTACAGGACATATAAACGTACAAAGAGCAGCCAGGAAGGAAGTTAAAAACAGAGCTATTTTATGATTAGAAGAAAAGACTAGTCCAAAGCAAATATGTTGACTGGAATCTCAAACTATCTAATGCCAAGTTTTAAATTTAATCTTACTCAGCATGAGATTAAATAGTATGGTTTCTGAATCTTTCATTGACAGTTCTGCTCCTCTGGTGCTGATAATGTTCAGGACCATTCTTATCATGAGGAGGGGTAGTTTGTGTGCTCCTGACATCTAGTGGGCAGAGAGACTGCCAAACATCCTACAACAAAGTTCATAGGACAGTCCCTTTGCAAAGAATTACCTAGCCAGAAGTATCAACAGTGTCGAGGTTGAGAAACTTGGCCTTCAATGGTCACTTAGCAGGTACCATTATTTTTTAAAATAGAACAAATAGTTGGAGAATTTTAGAATTCAGAATAGCTTCTAAATTTTTTGACACATCTTATACATTTAGAATTGCTTCCATTCTTTATGTATTTTATTATCCAAAGAAAGAGGTGGGAGCTACAAAATTCTCATTAAGGGGGGGGGGAGAGAAACTGACTTTAGGCTTGGCAAGATGGTTCATGGGTAAAGGTGCTTTCCACAGGAAAGAGTTCTTTCCATAGGTCCCACAAGGTAGAAGGACAGAACTACTCCTGAAAGTTGAGTTGAGCATCTGACAGGAACAAGTGTGCACATACATACATACATACATACATACATACATATATACAATAATAAATAAATAAATAAATAAATAAATAGTAATGAAAAGTTTTCAAAAGAGGTTCTAGAGCTAAAACTGTGATATAATAAAAACCCTACATTACCCTGAAGTGGAGCTTCCCTGGCTGGCTCCGGATTGCTCGGGGGGTGAGAAGGAACCACAGGAGGCACAAGGGATGAGTGATCTTCTGTCCATTCTACAAGAAAGAAGAGAAACAGTATGCTGGACTGTCCTCAAACACTTAGACTACTCACTTCTTCTTAGTACGAACTAAACCAATGAACCAATACAGTAGGTAGTGTGCAAAAGAAAGCAATTGGTATCTGACCTCAGGACATAGAGATTGTTTTCTTTCATATTTGATGTTTGGGTAAAGAAATGTGATATAACCAGTAAAAGTTCTAGCTCCCTCTGGCTAGAGTTTTAAATTTTTTAAAAAAAGAAAAAGTGTGGGTACACCCAAAGGCAGCCATTAAGAAAGAAACTTCTACAGGCTTGGTCAGGTGTGGACTGGTCTTCAGAACATGCCTGCCTTACAGAAGTTGCACTGAGGGAGATGCCAACACTCTGCAAGACACTAATGTCTGTTGTCTCTGAAACTCAAAGGGAGGCCACTGCCAGGTCCTCACTGTAATTTTATGCAGGCTGGAGGCCCAGGAATACTGTGGGAGTGGTAGACTGACCTTTGCGATGCACTGTGGAGTCACTTTCCCTTAGCCAACACACCCAGCCGTACACACCCACTGCCCAAACTGCATTTTCCAATGGTACTCTGTTTTACCGTCTCAGAAAAAACCAATTTAAGTTCTTAAATAAATGAGATTAAGGTAGACAACTTTTCAACTGGCAGTTTCTCTCTAAATTATATAGGCCAGGATAGGAGGTAGCAAACTGTATTTTACCAGCTAAAAATGCCTGCCTTTATATAAACACTACAAGGCATGAACAGCTTTGACATTTTTAAAAGCTTAAAAATCTGCCAGGCATGGTGGCACATGCCTTTAATCCCAGCACTCGGGAGGCAGAGGCAGGTGGATCTCTGTGAGTTCGAGTTCGAGTTCGAGGCCAGCCTGGTCTCCATAGCGAATCCAGGACAGCTAGGGCTACAGGGAGACCCTGTCTCAAAAAGGCAAAAAAAAAAAAAAAGATGAAAAATTATGAAAACCCAAGTACTGGCAAATGGATGGCCAAATATTAGTAGAACATTTATTAAATGGTATGTTATTTTGCCATTAAAATTATGAGGTAAATTTGTAATGAACTCTGCAACTTGTATCTAAAATTTTCTGCATACTGAGGATGGGGTGGGGCAAGCATTAGGAGAGTCAAGGGTCCACACTCCTCCTGAGTCATTTATAATTTTACAAAGAATATAAATTTGTAACTTTTCAGAGGTACTCAAAATTACCAAGTCTTCCTGATTTCTTTACACAATGTTGCTAAGATGAAAAGGTAGACTACTGCATAGCAACTCTGCTTCAAACTCAAGTATTAAAAGGAGTTTGGATTTAACAGGGATTACCATGCAAATGCTGCCTGGTACAATTCCCTCACCTTTAGAAAGCTCTGTGGGCTAAAGCCTTTTCTAAAGGGGTGCCTCCTTCAGCAATGTACTGGGGTGTGCTAGGGATGGGGCTGGACGAGAGCAGGTGCTCTGCCATGGAGAACAGAATGATTCAATCATCAAGACCACTTCTGACCACATGGGGGTGTACGTGCCCAGGCTTTGCCCCACATTCCCAGCTCAAGAGAAGCCTGCTGAGGAAGCCAACCTTCTGGAGGCGGTGGCTGTTGCTGCTGTTGCTGCTGCTGCAGCTGCTGCGGCTGCTGTGGCTGCTGTTGCTGCTGCTGTTCAAGCTGTTTCTTCCGTTTGGCTTCTAGAACTGGGTTCTCATATTGTGTCTTCCTGTTGATGTGGCTGGGAAGGAAGGAAAACAGTTTTCAGGAAAGAAATAGTCAGCCCATAGGCAAAAGGCTAACCACAAGTCCTCTGGTTAGACTGAAGCAAAGTGGGAGATCTGATGTTGACCCTTGTGTCAAAATGCACAGATAAGAAAAAATAAACAGTTTTCATTACTACTGAGAGATGATGTGCATCAAGCAATGGGCTACCAGGTGGACATGTGTTTTATTCAAAATTCCTAGTAAATGACATGCGGCAAGGTTCTATTCTTTTTAGAATAGTGTGGGAATGTTGTGCCTGCATGGACGTAAGTGTATCCGTGTCGTACAATGCCTGTGGAGGTCAGAAGAGGGCGCTGGATCCCCTGGAACTGGAGCAGATGGGTGTTAGCTGCCATGTGGATGCTGGCATGCGTCTTCTGCAAGACCAGCCAGTGCTCTTAAGCACTGACCCATCTCTCCAGCCTCATATCCTTAATCATACACAGTAGCAACTCCTTACTTATAAAGAATATATTCTCATAGTCCCACTGGATACTGAGACTCAGGTTAATATCCAGGCCTATATGGACTATGGTTTTTCCTCTGTATCTGCATATACCTATGACAAAATTTAATTTACAAATTAGGCACAGGAACAGATTAACAACAAAAACTTATCACAGACTTTAGCAATCTCTGGATCTGATTTTTTTTTCTTCTCTTTTTAAGCTGATAATTTTCACCTTCTCAAAGAAAATACTTCCAGACCTCACTTTAGCATATGACAGTTGCCTGTGCCACTACTTTTGTGCTTCAGGGCCATTATGAGGCAAAATATGGGATACTTGAACACAAGCACTATGACATTATGACAGCTGATTCGATAACCACAGGCAGGCTGATTCGATAAAGTATAGATGCCCTAGACCTGAGGCTGGTGGAGCAGAGAACATGAAGGCTCATCACACTACTCAGAATGGCACTCAATTTGAAACAAGAATTATTTATTTCTTGGGGCCAGAGAAATGGCTCAGAGGTTAAGAGTACTGACTGCTCTTGCAGAGGACCCGGGTTCAATTCCTAGCACCCAAATGGTGGTTAACAACTGTCTGTAACTCTAGTTCCAAGGGAAGCTGATGCCCTCCTCTGACCTAGGTGGGCACTGCATGACACAGGTGCACTTATATACATGCAGGCAATACACTCATACATATAAAATAAAAATAATAAAATATTTGAAAGAATTATTTCTTGATTTTCCTATGTAATTTTTTTCTGACCACAGCTGACCTTGAGTAGATGAAATCACAGAAAGGAAAACCATAGATAATTGGGGACCATGGTAGTTTATGGAAAAGGAAAGCATACTTTTAAGTAGTTAACTCACCTGGCCTAACACAGCTAGATTTAACTTAGGTCGATGTCTTTCAAATTCTAAGACTTTAACCAATGAGTCTATCCAAATTTCCAAGGTATCATCTGATAGGGAAAGTGGTTAAATTTAAGAAGTAGAATATGGAATTATTAAAAATTAAGGCTAAACTGGCTATATACAATGGCAGACCTCCATAGCAGGGTCTGTAGAAGGCATAAGTGGTCACCCAAACAGGAAAGTTTAAAGGATTCCACTAACATCTGTCAGCTATTTTTATCAACTGACCAGGAGAAATGATTAAAAGTATAACCCTTAGGCAAAGGTACTCCAAAGATAGCCAACAAGCAGATGTGTTAGGTTCAAAGTGACAAAGACCCAGGCACTAATACATATTTTTTATTGTAATGGCCTTATTTATTTTGTATATGTGTATAAGTATTCATAAATATATGTACACATCTTCATACATGTCATGGATATAATTTTTAAGCCCACAAAGGTTCATTATGAGTTTGAGGGCATCTCTAGTATGTGGTTATTTAGAACTTATATACTGTTTTTTTTTAATCCAGTCTTTTTTATTTGTTTATTCTTTTGAGACAGAGTCTCTTTGTGGCCCCAGCTGGCCTGGAACTCACCAGGCAGTCCAGATTGACCTCTGTATCACAGAAATTCACTGCCTCTGCCTCCCAAGTGCTGGGACTAAAAGTGTGTGCCACCACACCTGGCTTAGTCTTTTTTTTTTTTTTTTTTAAATCGGGTTTATCAAATAGGGTGAACATATTATCTTAAATTCTATTAAAGGCCTACTTCTTTCTTAATTCATTTTAGATTGAAATTGCCTACCATTAACATGTCTGTGGGCCAGGAACTAAAAGGCACAGAGACCTAGAACGGAGTAACACCTTGCCCCTCCAGGACCAGGTTTCTTCTCTTTTTAAAGCAGCCTCACCTGTTTCTTTTCTTACTAAGCTTGTTGAGTACCAATGCAAAGTGAGCCACATATAGCAGAGGCCTCTCTGTGTACATGTAGGAAAGACTTCAGCGCTGACAGTGGAAATGGACTTTACAAGGGTCAACAGAAATGACTGGTTTGTATCTTTGATGGCCCAAATTTCCAATTCTTCCTCTTAGGTAAGAGGAAGGCAATGTCTGTACTGGCCAAGGATACTTGCTATACTGAACTCACATTAACTGTTTCACAATAAGACACTGAGCATTCAGTGGCCTGGCATTTTTGCACCAAGCTTCAGTTACCAGGGCATTATACAAAAATGACTTACTGCCAGCAAAATGAGAGAGAAAGAAGGCCCATTATCTTTACTGTGATGGCAAGGATGATAATACAGGGCTTACATGGAGTTTCTTTCTTTCAAATGAACTTTTATCAGTTACCCCTCCCCTTTTTCAGAGGAAAAGATACAATGCACATGATTTCAGTATTCCACCTCTTATTTTTAAAAAAATTTCTTTTAGTATCCTCCAACTAATCAATGGTTCTAATAAAATGGCAAAGTACATGTCCAATGTTAGCATCTTAGCTTAGTTTTCATTTCCTTCTTACCCTTGGCAACATTTCATAAATTATTAAGATTTGACTAATCCTTTTAGAATGGCAGAATGAATAAATAATTACCGATAAGTTCAGACCTGGGCATGAGAAAAAGTAGGCCGAAAAGGCCCTTTCCTTAAGACTCACGACTCTATTGACTTACCTGCAGCCTGCCTGTTCCTGTTTATTCTTTCAACCAATACTTACTAAGCACCTGTCATATTCCAGGACTACATTTGGTCTTGGTGAAACGGAGGTTTAAAAAAGTCACCTGTACTACCTTTCTGAATTTAGTAGCCAAACTATCTTCATTCACTGAATATTTTCTTCTTCACTACATTCTTTATATTTCATCAAATATTAATAATATTACTTTGTACCTTGTAACAATGCCAAGCTATTTAACATAGATGTACATAATCACATAGGGGTGCAAATGATGTTTGAGTTATCGATAAGCACTTACTCTACATAGTAGACACCATAGACAGGGTCTTCAATCTTTTCCCAACCAGCAGGCAGCTCTGAAAAATAGAAAACCATTCAGAGAAAGAAAAGCTGATTCTTAAGAGTCAGGAAATTGTCAGCAACTGAGTTAAGCAAAAGGAGAAAGACGTAGACAAATGCCTTAAATCCAATTAAAACTGTATATTCTAACCCCATAGACGTATGCATTACTTTTATTTTGTTCAGTGCACTTTCTTATTTGAAGAGTTATTTTTTATCTACTGCTATTTTACTTAAAAAAAAAAAAACCCAAAAAACAATAAAACACATTCCCAGCTGCCTTCATTGTCAACCAACTATTAAATTAGATTTTAATGGAAATAGTTAAAACTTGCTTTGAATGCCTAGTTCCTACCTTAAATATTTATAGTTTTCTCATTTTGTTTCCAGACTACGTTACCGCACAAGCAAAAACAGATGAAAATTACTTTTCTTTTTCATTTTCAATTCAATAGTCCTGTTTTGCTTTCCTTGAAAGAAAAATAAACCTGCATCTTATTTTTCTCCTTGCTCTAATTAAAATGCTACTGAGTGAATAAAAATGCCCAGGTGGAACTGGGGGTTGGAACTGCACATCTCTGCCACTCCATTCCACGCTGGCCAGTTCATCTTCCTGTTTGCCAGAGACCTCGCTATTGACGTGGGAAAATAGGATTCTTTTTTTTTTTTTTTTTCTTCCCCTCTGGGTGATGGTGTTGAGAACAAGTCTCATTAAGTGGGCCAGGCTGGTCTCAAACTTGCAATTCTCAGGTCTTCACTTCTGGAACATTGGTTTGTCAGCAAGTACCAATACACCTAGCTATATTTACCTTTTAAATGTGGTGGCAAAATGGCTTTGTGGGAATGTAGGTAGAATTAAAAAACTCCCAGCTACTAAGGTTTCCCATCATAGTTTGAACTTCACTTATTCTCTAAGTAGTCCTGAGTTCTGCTACACGACTCTGTTACAGAAAAGCCCACCACACCAGATTATTTTACTTGGACAAAGAAGCACCTAGGTTGCACTTTGTGTCATTAAACAGTCCTTTCTGCCAGTGCAGCAATTGCTCAGTTTTATTTTAGAGTTACTGGTCTATGTTGTTAAGGCAAACTTGGATAACTCTACGCTCTGAAGTAAATCATCATTCCTAGAAGTAACTCAAATGGAATACTATAAACACTAGAAACACTCTTTACTTTGAAACAGTTTTGTTTTTCAGTTCCAAGAATCATATGGTTAGTATTCTCAAATAGTAACAATTTCATCAGCAGAGGGTTTCCACCTATCACCAACAGTCCAGAATGACCCGGACGCACCCGTGTCCGCACAAAGCACATGCAGACGAATTACTCAAAATTCATGTTGTTTCAGTATCTGAACATCAAGAGACATTAATTTTATGGCTTTTGCTCCACAGGTTGTTTGTATGTTTGTAAACAAAGAGACAAGTCCCCTCATACTCCCACCTCATCCCCCTTTTCTATTTTTTTTTTTTAAACCCTTAGCAGATTTTAAAGAAGTCTTTGAATTCTGAAGACATTAGTACTAAAATGCAAGACAGGTCCAATCTGCAGATGTTGATACAACTTGTCATTTCTTTTATACTAGGTCTTATGGACTGATGCAAATCAAATGCCTTACAAAGCTGGAAATTACCATTTAAATGAAAATGAACCAGGAAAATATTTCCAAGGAGTTGGGAAACTGAAGATTAAAAAAATGCAAATTGCTGCACAGCCACACGGGGTAGAAGAATGGGTGAGAGTGAAGAATTGCACCACAATGAATTGAATCGGACCTCCTTCCAAAAATCTAGAACCAGAAACACTTGACCTCATTATCTTTAGATAAAAGGGGAGAAATAGTATGGTCTCAATTTCTTAATTATTAATTTGATATTTATGAGCAACTACTGTCTTCCTGTGGATGTGTTAGATACTAGAACACAGAGAAGTGTATTAGCTAAGCAGGAAGCACAGCTATTACCTGTGCTTTGGTGGAGGTACACAGAGGATATAAAAATCCTCATCTGACTTTTGACCCATGGCATTATCAACAATTTAATGTGCTGGAGTTCAGAAATTGGTCAGTCAACTGGTATTTTGAGTATTTGTTCAATTTCAACATTTCTGGGGCTGGGGTGACATTTTAGTTGGTAAAGTGTGTGCCTTGAAAGCATGAGAGCCTGAGTTTGAACCCCAGAATTCATGTGTTAAAAAAAAAAAAAAAAAAAAGCAGAACACAGTGGTATGTACTTGTCATCCCAGAATGGGTAAAATGGAGATGAGTGGATCCTCAGGACTCAGTGGCCTGTCAGCCTAGCCTACTCAGCAAATTTCAGGACAAGGAGAGACCCTTGTCTCAAAACCCAAGGTGATACCAGATGTGGTGACCCATGCTTTTAATCTCAGCCCTTGGGGGGGCAAGGGCAGGTAGAGCTCTGTGAGAATGAGGCCAGCCTGGTCCATAGTGACTTCCAGGTGGGTTGGGACTAGGGAGACCCTGTCAAAAATAAAACAGAGTGGTAAAAACTTGAGTAACACTGCTGAGGTTGTCCTCTGGCCTCTACAGGCAAATACACACACGTGTACATGCACCCACACATGAACTTGCACACAGCCAAACAAAAAAAAAATTTAAAACATTTGTGAAACAGATGAACCAATTAGAAGTTAAAGCTCATTTTGAAATGGAAAGATAGATTTCTCACTTCCAATGTGGTGATTAACTTAATAACAGGAATTAGTCTTCTAATGCTTAAAATAGAAATAGGTCATTGATTTTAAAAAAGGAAGCTGTTGGTCCTAGATTTTGCAGTTTGGTGTTAGAAAACTAAAAAGGGGCAGAAAATATTTAACTCAGAAAGTGATTACATTATGGTTTAAGTAAACTCTCCTGAAGACGCACCTCCTGTATCTAAATCCTGAAGGGGGGCAGACGAGACTCCTGACCTGTTACAGAGGTTGGAGGGGCTGACATCCTTTTGGCACTGCCCAGATCTGAGATCCAGACCTAGCCTAGCGTTTGCTTTAGCTCTGTTGCTCCGTGGACTTTGGCTAGCTCATAAACATCTCTGAACACACCTTTCTCCTTATTCACCTGAAGGAGGATGCTTGTAAATTATTTAGCACCGTATATAGCACACAGCAATTCCAATAAATGACAAAAAGACTAAGATGAATTTCTATGGCCTGTGTGCTTGCTGCTCCTGACTCTGAAAATTTCATGTGGCACCACTTTACCCCTACAGGAGCAAATATTGATCAGTCAAATATTCTGTGTGTAGGAGATCTGTCAGTGTATAGATAGAAAAATCACACTAAAAATCAAACCTACAGTTCAAACCTGTAGCTTATCTTTGGTTGGAAAGGGAGTTTTGCGGGGAGTCGGGGGGGGGGTCTCTATCTTCGCTAGTTGGTTTCACTGCCTGAATACTTTGTAGTTCCAAAAGAAGGTTCTCCAGGGATTTTTTGATTCATGGGAGACTTCTGTAGAGGATGATGGGACAGAATCTGCAAACCCAAAGTGCACAATGGCGCTACTGACCCAGCTCAAACAACAGAGTTCAGGAATGACAACTCTATAATCAAATGATCTGTATCCAATACCCATGCCAATTGCCCATGCCTTCCAGAGGCAGGTTACAGAAATTACTTGTCACATCTGGACTTAGCGTTCACTGAAAACCTGACAGGTGCTTTTGCTTGAAATTAGACTTCCTTTATTTAAAAAATGGGCAGCGAGCTTGTCAATGGAATCTGAAGTGAATGTAACAGACAACAGCATGTGTGTGCACATGTGTGCATACTAGTGCTACAAAGTGAGACTGTGGGAACCAAACTCAAATATCAGGTCTACTCTACTTAGAAACATTTGATATTTGGGTGATTTCTTTAGAATGAAACAAACACATTCACCTCTTGTCTATGATAAAGGGAAGAAGTAATATAAGAAAGTATTAAGTCCAGTAAGAGGGTTAGCTAATATATAATGAAACTCACCATAGCAGCAATATGTGCTAATCACAAGGACAAACAAGTTTTCATTAAAACTCTTCAGAAGCACCAAAGGAGCTCCCTTTTTGGTCCTGATTTGCATAATTTTTGTGCTCATGAAGGTGCATATCGGAGCAGGGTATATGCACACATATGGACGTATGGGCATACATGTAGAGGCCACCAAACAACCTCAGTTCTCATTCATCAGGAACTGTCTACCTTGCTTTAAAATTTCATTTACTATGAGTGAGAGAGAGAGAGAGAGAGAGAGAGAGAGAGAGAGAGAGAGAAGAGAGCAAGAGAGAGGGAGAGAGAGAAGTACATGGGTATGCATACCACAGCTAGTATGTGGCGGTCAAAGGACAACTTGTGGGACCAGTTCTCTTTTCACTTTCATGGGTTCCAGGGATCAAACTCAGGTCACCAGGCAAGTGCGTTTACCTGCATCTTGCTGGCCCCACCCTATTTTGGGGACAGGATCTTTCATTGGTCTGGAATTACCAATCAGGCCATGTGGCTGGTCAGTAAGTCCCACCAATCTCCATTCCTCACAGTGGGATTACAAGAGTGTGCCACTATGCTGGGCTTTTTTTTTTTTTTTTAAATTAAATATGGCTTCATGTCCTTGTGCTTGTAAGACATGCACTTTATCAATTGAGTGATCACTTCAGCTCCCAATTTACATCACTTTAAAAAAAGGAAAGCAAAAAGAAGGTGCATAGGTGCATGAGTTTGTGTATGTCACAGATCTAGTACGTGGGAGAGCCCATGGTGTCATGGAGTACCAGTAAGCAGGGAAGCTGGGCAGTCTGATCTACCAGAGACCACTCTCCAAATGCCGCAAACCATTTCCCGATTATGGCTGTGACTACAAGAATGGAAGTATGCGCCAAGAGAGCTTATTATTTAGGAGTCCTTAACACTGTAGGAAAGTTCCAACGATATCAAAGTTATGGGGGAAAAGGCAAATTGCTTTCCTGAAATTTCAATTCAAACTTCCTTTGAAGCAGGGAAGTGTGTGTTCTCGCCATACAAGCTGACTTATGTCCACAGCCATCTAGAACAGCAGGTGGGAGGGGCATTCCCATGTATTATTCAGGTTGAAATTAGTCTAAAAAAACGATAACTGCTTCAGCTTTTTTCAATAATTTTATTTAATATCATAAATTGATAGTCTTTAAAATAAAAATAGATTTGGACTATGTTATTGCACATTTACAAATCTCAAGACATTCCTACTGCAATAACCAAAGGCCAACTTAATAAGCAACTTTAAAAATAGACCCCCAAATAGTTACTGGTTGTTACTGGCATATTAATCAAGTATAAGGGGATAGTTTCCAAATACTGAGGAAAATAAAGCTAAATTCTATACTACAACTCTAGTCAACCAGTGTTATCTTTATGTAGCAAAACCAAAACCAAATGAAAGTGGTAATCTCTATTAAGTACATTTATATTTTCAGGTCTTAAGAAAACTTCAAAAATGCCATGCAGATTCAATAATCTTAGGACAGTTCCATTCATACTGATGTCAGTCTTCTGCTTAAACAATGTTGAATATGGCTAATTTTCAATCAGCCAAGATTTTCATCTGCAATTTAGTTGAAACTACTTGTGCTTTTCTATCTCCCCCTCAGATGGAGTGCAACTAATTTCAATATTGCTCAAATATCAATACAATGCACTTCACATGAAATATAACTCAACATATCCCAACAGCAAAGGAAAGAAGAGTGTGGCATTATATGCAAATACAAATTACTCCTAAACATACTAGCTGAGGTAGTCAAAACTTGACTTACACGGGAACATAGCCTCTAAAGAAAATGCCACAAACACTGCATCTGTCAGCAACACGTGGCCCGTGATTTAAAAACAACACAAATGTAAGACTCGTACACTATGCAGTTACTCAGTGGAATTATTTTATTCCAATGATCCTTGCAGAAATCATTATATTTGTTCCCTGAGTTTCTCTTTTACTTTGCTGTTTTTACATTACTCACATGCATAATACTGAGCACTACACAAAAAAGAATGAGGCTAAGACAGGAGATATGAAAGTTCCAGGGTCATGGCAAGCAGCCCTTCACTGTCTTCCCAATTCTAGCCTCAGTGTGTTCAAATTTTTTCTTGCAGAAATGGTGTATTTCATACAACCCCCTTTGATGTCCGTATCAAACACACTGACTTTCATGAGTAAGCTGGGCTGAAGATTACAACTGGAGAAGTGTCACCTCAAGACAGAGAGGGTTTAAGCAATGCACCATGCAGGGCAATCATGCAACAACAGCAGGCAGGGAGGCATTACCTAGTTCACTGTCCAGCTCCTCGGTGTGTACCCCTTCTTCTCCAAAGGAAGAGCAGGAATAAGACAGAAAAGACAGAAAGAAAAATTCAGATACCAACACCAAGAAAGAAACTTCCCTCAGAAAAAAAGGCAGCAAATACATCATTTTATTTTGTTCTTACCTGCATTGTGGTTTGTTTCACTGGCTTGGCCAGTAAACTTGTGACCTCAGTATAAATCACAAAATGGTAACAGCTGATATTGGCAAAATAATTATATGGCTCATTTCCTTGCATGTCAAAATAAGATTGGATTAGTTGTAAAAGATGACAAATACCTTTGTGGTTTCAATGTTCTTAAGTGGGAAGTCACTTATTACTGACCTTATTTGCAGCAAACAAAGCTGTTAGACCTTTCAATATTAGTCCTTTTAATCCTTCAAGAATCCTCTCATCAGAGATGCAATTACACTCACAGTTAAAGCATTACTGAACGTACAAGTGATACTGCTGGTTGAAAAGTGGAAGGTGAGGTCAAGCTGAGCAAGCACTGTACGGTGTACCCACTGGCTGTCAAAAAAGAGCTAGAGAGATAAACCACTGTGGTGATGTACATCAAGGAAGCGATGCTTGATGGCTACCCTGGAGGAGGATTTGGAGGAGAGTTCACTGACCTTGTGTTTATTTGTATATAAGCTAAGCCAAATGGTTCAGAAAGAGTCAAGCGAAAATGTTCTCAATGACTTCAGCCAGCAAAACAAGTCAAAATGCTTTTATTCTTGACCTCCTCTGCTGTCAGTAGAACAGCTGGCTAGGACTGAGAGGAGAACGCAGCACAGCACACAAAATTCATTTTGTGCATAAAAGCCTCTCCAGCTACAGAGCAGGTGGCTGCTGTTTACTCCAGAAGTTCCAGGAACACAAGGGCAGAGGAGTGGTTCCAAGCCTCCTTCTACACTGTGGCATGCACAGCGCTCAAGGTAGTTTCTAGAACACTCAAGTACTAAATATTTCCCAGCTAAGCTAGCTGGCCAGCTTGAGCTCAGGACTCCCTTCTCTGCTTCCTGAGTGGTGGGTCTATAGGTAGGTTGCCATGTTCATCTTGAGTTAACAGTGAACTTTTGACTGGTATTCTTTCTTAAGGGAGTTAACAGATCTAAATAAAATCACTTGTAGAAATGTCCATTTTGATATTATTTAATGCTTTGGGGAGGGCTCATTTTTATTTTTTAAAAAATATTTTATCTTTATGTGTGAGTGTATTGTCTGCATGTATGTAACTATACCCATGTCATGCAATACCCATGGAGATCAGAAGAGGGTGTCAGATCTCCTGGAACAGAGTTACAGATGGCGGTTAGCCATCATGTGGGTGATGGGAATTGAACCTCGTCCTCTTGCAAGGGTAGTCAGTGCTCTTAACTGCTGAATCATCTCTCCAGCCCCTCATTCACGTTTTTTTTTCCTTTTCCAGTGATTATTTAAATGTGCCAACCACTGTGCTAGGTGGCAGAGACAGTAAATCAACACAGATACATTTACTGTGTTGGGAGCAGAGACAAACATGAAGCTAAAATTCACTAAAATTAAAGCCATGGCTAATTTTCTAGAGTGTGACATACAGTGGAGTGGCTTGATCTTAGCTGAAGCCAAAGTCATGGAAACAGGATCTGAGCTATAATCTGAAGGATGCATAAAGTTCAACCAAAGTGGCTCGAACTTAAGTTCTGTGAGAACAGGATGCTCTGTCATTGCAGGCACTGATCCATCTGAAGGTTGTAGAATATCTGAGTCAGGTAGAAGATATTTAGCAACTATGTGAAAAATGTGACCACATTCTAAGAAAGAACTGTGCACCTAGTTGTCAAGGAGGCAGCAACTCAGGGAGAACCAGTGGAATGCAAATCAGAGGGCAGTGTGCAGAACAGCTAGAGTAGAGAACAGCTAGGGTGGCTGGACCACATGGGACTTAAAGAAGCAGACTAGACCAGGCAGCTACTGAGTGGACTAGAGGCCACTGACCAGGCCAGAGGGGTGGTCAGTGATAACATCATCAAAAGTGACATTTAAAAAATGGCTGAGAACAGTGGTCAAGGGAAAGGGTCTAGGTAAGGAGATCTGTGACCCAGATTAGGAATGGAACAGTTGAGTGAAAAATGGGGAATAGATGAAAGAAACATTAAGGAGGCCAAGTGGATACAGCTGGCTTATGGGCTAGAAATGACATGAAGAGCAGTCAGAGGTCAATGGACTCCTGAGTCTGCATTCACTACTCAGTGGAAACAGGGAACACTTAGCACAGGCTGGGGAAAGGGACAAGAGTCTGGTTTTAATTACCCTGAGTCTGAAGTCTCTTTGAGGCAACCTGTTGGGATAATAAACCAGGCAAATGAAAACATTGACCTGGCCCTGAAAGGCAAGGTCAAGACTTCTAACAGAACTAGAAAAGGCCAAAGCAGGAATTCATATACTGAAGATCAAACTCCCAAACTAGCTCCTCATTCCCCTGAGATAGGAAATGGAAACCCAACGTCTTTATAATATCGAAGTATACTATTGTTGTGTTGTATCCCATGTGAACTATAAGTATGAAAGAATACAGGCACAGGACATGTGATCAGTAGTGTTTCCTTGATTTGTGCTGTAACATGAACAGTAATTGAGGCAGCTCTGTGCTAAACTGGTAGCAGAAAATACAAACTGATGCCTATCATCTGATTACATGTTTATGCTGTTTATGTGTACATGCACAGACATACATATAATTCTAAATGAAAAGAATATATGAATTCTAATGTTGAGGGGATAATTACTAAATGAACTGCATTTGGTATGAATGTATGCTTGTGTTAAAGGAAAGTGTTTATGTAAATGGTAAGAATTCTAAGAATTAAAAATTTGGTAATAAAAATTCAGTAATGCTTCTTAATGCATTTACTTCAGTAACTTTTCTCTCACTAAAAGCTTCTGAAATCTTCTGTCATTTATCAAATTATAGTACTATGTACTTTCAGACGTTCCCAATGTACTTATAATGGACAGTGACACTGAGGACCCTGTAATAAGAATGGCCCAACTGCCCTCAAAATCGTCACTTATCAAAGAAAGGTGACATTTTCTTCCACAAAGTTGTGCTTTAGAATGTGTTTTATGTTCTCATCTTTGAAACTTGGTTATCTATGTATATTTAACAGAATCCTTGAATACTCAGGGAAGTCCATTATTCCCATGTAGGCAAAATATCAGAACTGATCACACCTACTCCATTACTTCTTCAGCCATGGGAATAAGCAATGAAAAGAATCCCCTCAAGAGTGCTTCTTGGTTAGAAGGACATGCATTTTCACCAAAACTGGCTCCAATAAACATCAGCAAGCATTAGCATGCGGTCCTACATGTATTTCCTGTAACTACAACCACATAGCATGGTTCTCAGAGTACAAGGCTTTCCAATTCTGCGCAATACTTGCTTGCGTTTTCCAAACATCACATTTTTATATATGCAACAATTCTGCATTACAGGATGAATTAATAAAGCTTTGTTATCTTACAGGAAAATATGTATTCCATACTTCAAGTGCCAGAATTGAATAATGTGCAGCAAAGCACATCTGCCTTTTAATAAGTCCATAACGAAAATAATTTTGGTAGAACTTGGGATAGATTTTAGCATGCTGCTGAAAAGGGACATATTTGCTCTGTCACAATTTTTTTCTGTCATTTTGGAGAAATAATTAGAACCTCCAAATACCTGAAATTAACTTTTTCAGAATAAACTTTTGCAGTCAGTTAGAATGTTCCCAAGATGAACAGGGAGGTCTAAGCATCACCCTGTCTGTTTCACTGAGGATCAATCTTTTCAAAAATTATGGCAATATTCTAAGTTACACCAACATTCCCAACATGTCAAGATGTTTTCTATAGCCCCCAAACTGGAGAAATAACAGAATTATGAAACAATAAGAGTCCAAGACAAGTTCTCAATTTCTCTCCCTATGACATTTATAACATAGGGTTAGGCTCTAGCATGGCTAGTACTTATCTATATTCCTGGAGACTTTCTCTAGTCTTTTCCAAGTTCAAGGCAGAGGATGCACCTGCCTTGAACAGTTTCTGGCTGAGCTCAGATTGTATTTCCGATGTCCATATTAGACCGCACATGTGTTTTGGTGTAAATAAATTGCTCTTTAGAAACAATTCTACTGAATTCCCTTTTCTTTGTAAACCACAGTAAACTTCCTAGAAATTGCATGATCAAAAACCCTCTCAATGTTAAAAAAACGGATTTACCCTGTAACCACTCTGAAAATATTTGCCCATGTAAGCACACCCCCAATGCACTGAGCATCAAGACCACCGAGTCCTTACCATCATCTTCGCACTCTTCCAGAGGCTTCTGCTGTTTGTTTAGGCACCGAGGGTCTAACCATGATGTTGTTTTTGTGTTATGGCTGTAATCCAGAAACAAAATGAGAAATCTGTTTAAAAAGAAAGAATAACAACAAAAGAGCACAAAGACAAAAGAATTGCACACACTTGCATATCTGCTCATGAGCCAGAGCAAAGATGCTTTCCAACAGCAAACCCAAACCATAAGGAGCTGGAGGTTAGAATGATAAAATGGCCTAGTGGGAGTTTTAGAGGGGTATTTTCCTAGCTAAGATATAATCACTCAGTTAGTGAAGGCTCAAAATGTAATATCAGCTTTATTTTTGAAAAATGAGATAAAAATGACATACTGTGCCTGTACTGTCTACTCCTGTCTAGACTTATTCTATTAGTCTTTACACTTGCCAAAGAGCAAATTCTAATTTATTTTACATTTGCCTGTGGCTTAAATCTAGGATACCGAAATTCACAAAGAAGGCTACTATGTAAATCACCCTATTACATAAGCCTTGTCCTGACAGTGTGGAACTGTCTCCTTCACACGCCAGCTCAACATTCATACACATACTGCCCACAGCATCCTAACTCAAGTGCTCTCTCTCTCCCTCCCTCTCTCTCTCCTTCCCTCCCTCCCTTCTTCCCTCCTTCCCTCTCTCCCTCTGTATGTATCTACATGCCATGATATGTGTGTGTATGTCAGAGGACACTTTGCAGGAATAAGTTCTCGTCTTTCATCATGTGGGTCCCAGGGATCAAACTCAGGTCATCAGGCTTGTTTGCAAGCACCCTTACTGACTGAGCCATCTTTCTGGCCCCTAACTGAGGTTTTAAAGGATTAAAGGCCACCCAAATTACCTACTACAAACAGAATCCAGGCCATCAAAAAGCTTAAAGAACAGAGATGCTGTCCAAATGCCTTTTTGGAGGATACAGGCTAACCCTGGAGGAAGAGTCTTAACAGGCAGTGACTGGTCTTTTGAAATTTGAAACATCCCAAGGATATTGTCCTTGAGCTTTGCTAGAAATGCCACAGGTAGAAGAAGCCAGCCTTTGCTGACCAAGACTCTGGGTGGCAATTTCACTGAGCAACTAAGTAGGTGGGATAAGCCCAGAAACAACAAGAAGTGGGGAAAAAAAATATTTGAAGTTTAGGTATGGATACTTTCTACCCCAAATTTAAACTTTACATTGTAAATGTAAGGAGGTATAGAACTGCACCCGCATTTCAGATTCAAGTTTTATTAGTTATTAAAGAATAATGGCTATGAAAATATATTTCACTTGTGTTAAAATAATAAAATAAAATAAAAATACAGTAACTTCCTTCACTGCTCTGCTGTATCTGACCACTTATAGCTGAGTCTGTGGTCTGTACTAGTCTACACACAATTCAGCAACACTAGTCATTGCTGGGAAGCAAAAATATGTATCATTTCAGAAAGCAATTTTTTACTTGGAAATAAGTATAGATCCACATGTTCTTATAAGAAAAAATACAGAAAGATCCAATATATCCTTTACCTAGATAGGGTCAAGGGAAACACTACATAAAAACAACACTGTGACAACTAGGCTGTGCTTGTACACAATTAAGAAACAAGCCATTTCCATCATCACTGGTCTCTCCCACATTGTCCTTCCTTATCCACACACTTGGCTCCTTCCAGTCAATCCTCTTGAACCCCTTATCCCGCATCAGCCAATCTGTTTCCTATGTCTACAACTTTACTACTTTGAGAACTGTATAAAAGTGGATCATGGTACAGGTAATGTTTGGACACTGATGCTTTTTACTCAGCATAATTCTCATCAAGACTGTTGCAGGGGCTGGGGAGATGGCTCCAAGTCTAAGAGCACTTGCAGGGGACTCAGGTTTGGTGCCTAGCACCCATATCAGGTGGCTCACAACGTCCTATAACTCTAGTTTTAGGGCATATGATGCCCTTTTCTGGCCTCCATAGGCACCCAGGTGCAAATGGTGCACATATACTTGGGCATATACTCAAAAAGCTAAAAAATAAATCTTTAAAATGGTTGTGCATATGGATGATTAATTCTTTTATGGTTGAGTGGTAGTTCACAGAACTGGATAGTATTCATTTAGTCATGGGCAGGCTTTTCTAGATTTTTTAAATTTGTGTGTGCTTTGTTTCGGTTTTGGTATTCAGAATAAATTTACTATGAGCACTCATGCATAGGTTTTTATGCCAATATAGGGATCACTGCTCTGGGATAAAGGATTACATGTTTGTCTGCTAGAATGCATGTTTAGTTTAACAGAAGCTACTAGAAGAGCATATAATTTTATATTCCTGCCAGCAAAATACACATGATCTAGTCTCTCAACATGGTTGCCCCATTCTTTACTGTTGTCACTGTGTTTGCCCATGCAATAGTACCTGATGATGTTGAGTATTTCCCATATGTATATTATCCACCAATATATTCCCTTTAATGAAATGCTTATTTGTGGCTCTGGCTACACCTTGCCTGAATGATTTGTTTCTTTATTCTTTTCTTCAATTTTTTTTTATTTTATGTGTTATTTTGTGTGTTTAAAGTGTTTTGTGTGCATGTATGTTAGTGTACCCATACATGCAATTCCCACAGAGACCAGAAGAGGGTGTTGAATCCCCTGGAAATGTAATTGTGAATGGTTGTTAGCCATCATGTGGGTGCTAGGAACTGAACCTGGGTCCTTTGCAAGAGCAGTCAGTGCTCTTAACCACTAAGCCATCTCTTCAGCCTGTTTCTTTGTTTTTGAGTTTTGAGGGCTCTTTATACATTCTCCATCCTAGTCTTTTTCAGTGATGAGCTCAGCAAGTATTTTCTCCTAAAGTATTTTCTTATTAAAACTTTCTGCATGTAAAACAAATTTAATTTTAATGAGACTGGATTAATCAATTTTTTCAAGATTATACTAGGCTTTTGATGTTAAGTCTAGAACCGTTTTGCCTAGTTTTACATTACATAGATCTAAATTTTTATAATTTATTACATCTTGCCAGGTATGATGGTGCATGCCTTTAATCCCAACACTCTGGAGGCAGAAGCAGGTAGATCTTTGTGAGATGGAGCCCAGCCTGGTTTATACAGTGAAATACAGGCCAGATGGAGTTAAAGGTAGACCCTGTGTCAAAATACAGAAAAAATAAAGAATTACATTTAATTCATTTAGGGGAGGGGTGCATATGCCATGTCTCTGCATGGAGGAGGTTTCTCCTTTACCATGTCCTGGGGATCAGACTCTGATCATCAGGCTTTGTAGCAGGCCTTTACCTGCTGAGCCATCTGGTTGGCTCTCCTTTTAAAATTTCTAAGCCTTTAACTTCTTTACAACTTACATTGCACTCTGTGGGTTGAACTAACATTTTATGTAAAGTGTGAGGCTCAGTTTGGGATTAGGTTATGTGCTTCTAGCTGACCCCCTACTCCAACATCCTGTAATCAAAAGGCTATCTTGCTTCCAAGAAACTGCTTTCACACCTTTGTCAAAAACTAGTTGGGGAGCTTGGAGAGATGGCCCGGAGGTTAAGAACACTTGCTGCTCTTCCAAAGGACTCAGTTCCCAGAACCCACATCAGATGGCTCATATCTTCCTGTTAACTTTAGTTCCAAGGGAGCTGACACCTTATTCTGGCCTCTGTGGGCACCAGACACAAATGTGGCACACATATATACACTGAAGCATTCACACATACACATATGTTTCTTTTAATTAAAAACAAAACAACAATCAGAAAGACCCACTAAAACCAGCTAGGCACATTTATGAGCCTATTTTTGAGCTTTACACTCTGTTCCATAGATCTGTGTGTTGATTCCTTCACCAATACTATGGAGTCTCAGTTACTTATAATACTATATAAGTACAATAGAGTAAGTTTTGTGCTTATTACATAGCATTATAATTATTATATAATTCCTGTATAGTGTTATATAATATATAGTATTATAAGTACTATGTAAGTTTTGATATAAGTAGATTCATTCCCCTGACTTTATTCTTTACAGAATTGATTTTACTAGTCTATTTCCTTTCCTTATATTAGTATGAACTTGTCTAGTATATATTTACAGAAAATCTCTGTCTTTGACAGGAACTGCATTAACCCTGCACATTCATTTGGTGAAAGCTGGCATCTTCAACTATTCTGGAGCTTTCCAATCTCTCAAAATACTATATATTTTCCATTACTTTAGACTTTCTTTCATTAGTATGCATTCCAAAATCATATAAATATTTTATTAGATTAATACCTATGTATTATTACTATCTTTTTAAAGTCTTAAATAAGTGCTTAAATTTTTTTAATTAAAAAAATTTTTAATTGAGCTTGGCATGGTGATATACACCTTTAATCCCAGTGCTCAGGAGGCAAAGGCAGGCAGATCTCTGTGAGCTCAAGGCCAGCCTGGTCTACAGAGAGAGTTGGGAGACCTTATCAAAAGATGAATAAAATTTTTAAATTGAATTTTTGCAAATTTCATATAATATATTTTGATCATATTTAGATCCTTTATCTGCATACCTCTTACAGGCCCCCACACCAGATTTCATATACTCTGTCATAAATATTAAGGCCTATTGAGTCAAGTTTGTGTCCTCATATGCCCTTTGGTGTGAGTCCATCCACTGGAGTCTGGTTAACCTATTTAGTGTCACACCCTTAAAGAACCTGACTCCCTCTCCCAGCAGTTATCTATCGGTTGACAATAGTTCCACAGGTAAAGTTGGGGCTTCTTCCCCATTTTCCCACATTTATGCTGGGATTTTGTCTGGCTTGAGCATGCATGGGACTTGTACATGCTGTTACCATTGCTGTGAGTTTATATGAGAAAGTTCCCAGTTGTCTGGAATGAACTTGCCTAGTCTATACTTAACAAAAAGTCCCTGTCTTTGACAGGAATTACATTAACCCTACACATTCATTTGGTGAACACTTCTTAAACTATTTTGAAGGTCCAACCTCTTAATATACTATGTATTAATTTAGACTTTCTTTTATCAGCATTTAATAGTTTATAGCATTCAAAATTTATACAAATCTTACTAGATTAA